TTGAAATAATAAAATTAACAGCAATATTAGCTGAGGTCGATGATGACATTTTGCCAACAAGTATAAATCGTTCTGTAATTGGTGTTAATGTAATTGAATGACTGGGATAAATATCATAAACATTAACATCATTGATAATATTCATATTCAAATATCTTGTTTGTGGTCTATCAATCCACTGAACAATATCGCTAGTATTATCTAGAGTCATGATTTTCTCACGTGAAATATAGCCGCCACCACTAAGATTCGTTAAATAATTAATCAATGGAAAATTACTTTGTTTATGTACAGAATTAGCATTAAATATCCATGTTGGTTTTGGTGTCAAATTATTCAATAGGGTTGGTTCATCATTACCAATAGCCGAAAGACAATCACTAAATAAAAAATAATGTGTTGCATTTGGAATGGTAGTTGAAAGTGTAGCTAGTTGAAATAGATTTGTTGCATCATCATATAATAGATTAGTTAAAAACTGATCAAGTTGAGATCAATAGTCATGTTCTTGTAAGTTAAATGAACGTGGTTCTTCAAGTTCATTTCGAAAAACAACAATAGTTAAGTTAATGTTATCACCATTCAATTTCCATGCATTTAATATCATCTTTAACATACTAATTTCATGATTACGATTTTCAAGATTAGCTCGATTTAAACTTGCATACCAAAGTATACAAATCGACATTGAATTTTGACTATTAGGTACAATATTATTTGTTTGTGATAATGGTGACACATAGCATAAAGCAAAATAAGTTTGACTATGATCATCAGGATCGATTTCTACACTATGAATAGGTTGTCTTGGTGTTAGATTTTTTAGCATATATGTAATAGACTGTTCATCTTGTGATGATTTAACATTGACTTGGTGAGATTCGAAACAATACCTTCCATTTAAATTCACAAAATTTTGTTGAAATTTTACTTTGGAAAGAAATTGTGGTTGACAATCATTTGATGCATGTGTACAAATCAATGAAATAGAAAGTGATCATTTTTCATTTGTGCTTGATCTTGATAAATGATACGAATAATTGGTGTGCCTCCAACTGGCATTGGATAAACTCTTGTACGAAATACATTTCCTTTGATCATCTCAACTAAACCTGGATCAAAACCTTTTCGAAATTCTTTTTCAACAACAACACCATCAACATCAAGACCTATGAAAAATAAATATCAAAATTTTTATTTTTAGATTTGTAATTCTAAGAAATAAAATTGACTTACCAAATCCACATATAGTTGCTGTCTCAGGTAGAGTAAATTCTAAAGATCCTTCTAATATTCGATTATGTTCATTTTTAAATGTCATTGTTGTTGTTACTTGATGTATGAGTGGAAATTTTGCATTCGCTTGTTGTTCGACTTGCAATTTAATCATTTTCAATGGGGTCGAAGCAGCATCACCAAATTTCGTTCGCTGACCAAAATACATCGGAAACGACGTACGACTATTATCATAATTAGTATGTAAAGACATGTTGAAGACTAAACAACGTTGTTTTAGATAATTACAAGAAATTCAATCTTAAACTAGAAAGAAAATGAAAAATATAGATGTTTCTTGTGGAACACCACTGGCAATTTAAAGCAAAGTCTAAAATAGATACTATACTTTCGACATTTAACCTAATGGTTATCGGAAAACGAATGGGATATCTGGGTATGACTGTGGGTGATACCCCACACCTATACTCTACGATATGAAATTCCGATCATTTCGAAATTTTTTTTTGTAATATGCACTAGCTGAAAAAATCGTCTATCAATGATGTAGATGACGACATACACATCCTACACTGTTTCCAAACTATAGTAGCTATATGTAGCTGACATTCGCTTTTTACAATTTGGTCCATTTCTTATATCATCGACTAAATTATTTTCTTATGACATTTTCATGATTAAAATTTTTCTTTTACCTTCTCCTAAGATTAATTTCTTTATTTTCTACGTAACAAACATTAACTTTAACAGGCTAAACGAGAATTCAACATCGATACTCTTGTCAAATACTCTTATCAAGCATATTCAACTAAATCATTGGTATCTTCCATGAACTACATGTCGATGCAACATAATCAATATGTAAAGAATGTCCCATACTAACTGACGATAAATTGTTAATGATATTTTTCATAGTTTTTCTTAACATTGAAAGCTGAAATTTTTATCATATGCATATCTAATTCTGATCTTTAATTTCTCAAAGTTTTAGCTCTCTAGCCATAACTAGAGTTGAAAATGCAGAAATAAGACTGAAGTGTATGATTTTTTTGTACTAGATTTTTGTAATATTTTTACTTTGTAGGTAATTGCGACTGAATGGCCGAGGATTGTTTGAGCTTTGCAAGAATGCATTCATTTCTAAAAACCTTTTAGAACTAATGACCAATTTTTTCTTTCATATCTACCACTTACGAAAACAGAAAAGATTGTAAATGGTTTGAATTGGGATGGACCATCTATATTAACTTAAAATTAAGTTTAATGTTAATCATTAACCATTAATATTAAAATTAAATTTTTTCATTGAACAATTACATGAAACAAATGCTATTTTCTTTTGATTTTTTTCTTATCAAAGAAAAGCTAATTCAAAAAATACTAAGGATAGTCCGTATAATTATTCAAAGGTTTTCTGGAAATAGTCAATAACAATCGCCGATGACAATCATTCACCATTATAGCGTGATCGTCTCAACGGTCCGCACCAATAACTATACGTACGGTTACCGTACAAGGCAACTTTCACGCGAAGAAGAGGGTTTGTGAGAACATAATGATACTTTATAAAAGTTGACAAAAGCAAATCGGCATCGGAGAATCCGAATTTGCAATTAACTTTTCAGAATTCTTCATCAGTTTTTTTCTGAAAAACTGCTGTTTCTCAAGAAATTTATTTTTTCCCAAGAAAAATTGTTTATTACAAAAAAAATAAGACCGTCAGTGTGGGTGTGGATGTAGGATATGAGTGCTGAACAAAAACGAGACTGCCATCTACACTAACATTCACATCCACGTCCTCAACCGCACCCACACCCGCTCACACCCTCGTAAGTTTAGAAAAACTGTCGTAACTTTTGACCAATAGGTCATAAGCTTGAATCTTTTCAACCTTTTCTAAGTCTGGTAGAGACCTATTCGTAGTTTTTCACGTAATTGAGTTTGCAGATACATTCATAGACATGCCCGAGTATGGTTCTAACGCAAAAATGCCGAAAGTTTAATGAACTAGAGACCGACTGTATTCGCTTGCTCGCCTTCCTCCGCTTAGCCAGAAAGAAGCTCGTCAAACAAAGCACTTTTAATCATTTAAAGGTTTCATAGTGAATGCTGATGTATATTCTGTACATTACGATCATGAGCTCCAGAAACCTGATGATCCGTACATCTTCTTACCCGAGCATCATAAAACAAAACGTTATCCGCTGACTTACCTACCGTTCGGAGTGAGTCCATAATATTGCGCT